TGGTCTCGATCTCTTGACCTCGTGATCCACCCGCCTTGGCCTCCCAAAGTGCTGGGATTACAGGCGTGAGCCACCACGCCCGGCCCTTAATATTTCTTGAATTTGCATTCACTTCTTACTCCCCACTGCCGTTCATCATATCTTCCTGGGTTATTGCAATAGTTTCCAAACTGGTCTCCCTTTCCGTCTCCCATCACACAGGCGTACAAACTAGCCTCTCCAGTGCACATCTGATTATATCCCTGTTCCTTTACAAACTAGCAGGCTCCTCATCCTTCCAAGAAAACATCCAAATCTCAAAGCACGTCCTAAAGTGCTCATACAACCCCATCCCGTTCCCAACTGCAATCTCCCATCGCAGCATCTTTTTCTCTTTGCTGGTCAGTGCCTACTCGTTTTTTAAAATGCAGCATTCATGGACTCATCCAGTGTTCGTCTCGTGTCCCCCATCTTTATCCCCTTGCCCACAGTGATCCTTCTGTATGACAATTGTTGTTCTCTTCCAATCGACCATCACTTTGAGAACAATCACTTGATCTCTAGTTCTCTAGTACTTAGCACAGTGCCGCTCAGTGAATGAAGAACACTGATCAAAAGAAATTATGGTTTAAGCTTACACCAGGCTTTCCTGAAAAAAATGTAGAAGATAGAAGATGGCTAAATAATGTTAAGAGGAAGGTGAAAAAGAAACACATCAGCAAGAGAACACATTAAGCAATTGCACACATGTAGCTACATTGCAAGAGAACACAGAATGTCCAAGTGATGCCAGCTTTTCACGCTGAGACAAATGAAGTCCAGAGGAGTCAGATAGATGGCGGTAGGGCCAGAACCACAATCCCATGTGCACCGGTCCCTCTACTGCATTGTTGCTCCCAGGTGATGAGAATTCATGGGCAGTCCTAACACGATTACTATCGGGAAGACTCACCTGGAGGACGGACTTACTATCCAATAAATTCAGACAAGTATAGGTAAGTATGCTTTCATGGAAAAATGACACATGCATCTCCTGCCTGCATATGGACAGTCCCTGCCCTTTGTTCACAAAATATCAGTAACTGTTTTATAAAATTTTTGTGAAGCAGATAATTGCTCAGGATAACATGGTATCTAGGAATGGAATCTTGTAAAAGCGAAGTTTAAACATCTATAAACTTCTGTTTAGCATTGAAAACTGTGCTCCAAATAACAAAATGGGTAGATTATGGCATGTATTGCTTTTGCAAGAGATTACGAATTCCATAAAATGTGCATGTAATACAACTTGATTGCATCACAGATATGCTTGCTGGGTGTGGTGACCCACGTTTATAATCCCAGCACTTTGGGAAGTTGAAGTGAGAGGATCATTTGAGGTCAGGAGTTGAGATCAGCCTGGCCAACGTGGCAAAACCCCATCTCTACTAAAAATTAAAAAAAAAAGAGCCAGGCGTGGTGGTGCATACCTGTAGTCCAAGCCACTCAGGAGGCTGAGGCAAGAGAATCCCTAGATCCTGGGAGGCGGAGGTTGCAGTGAGCCAAGATTGCACCACTGCACTCCAGTCTGGGGGGGGGTGGGGGTGGGGGGGGTGGGGGTGGGGGGGTGGGGGCGGCGGAGATCATTGCTTGCCTTAATTACCAAGGACTAAGGTGCTCTTCAAGAATCACCATATTTGCCTTTTTTGATCTTTAACTTTTCAAGATTCAGTTTTTTTTACTTTTTGAGGGAGTACATATCTATAGATTTTAACACAAATAAAAACTCGTAGCTGCCACTACAGTCAGGGTACAGGACAGTTCACCCCCAAAACTTCCTTGCATTCCAACTTTGTAGTGAAAGCCTTCTTTAATCCCTGCCTCCTCACAGTCACTGATCCGCTCTCTATCCCTATTATTTCGCCTTTTCCGGAAAATCATACACACAGAATCTTTTAGTTTGTGACCTTTTGAGCCTGGCTTCTGTCACTCCACACAGTGCCATTGACATCCCTCCACACTGCTGCATGCCGCAGTTCCTTCTTACTGTTGACTAGTGGTCTGTTGAATGAATGTACCGTAGTTGATCCCTTTCACCTAGGTGAAGGCTATTTGGGTTGATTTGGCGATTGTAAATAGAGTTCCTATTAATATTTGCATACAGGTCGTGTGAGTAAAAGTTTTAATTTAATTAGGGCAAATACTCAGGAGTGGAACTCTTGGATCACAGAGTTACGTTAGCTTCAAAGAAACTGTAAAAGTGTTCTCCAGAGGGCCTGCACCATTTTGCATCCTTAAAAGCAAGGTGTGAGGGCTCCCGCTGCTCTGAATTTTTGATGTAAGTTGGTATTAATTTTCCTAAGTGCTGTTAATTCTAATAGTTCTGCCATTTTGGTGTTGATTTTCCTTTCCCAATGGCTAATGCTGTTCAGCATCTTTTCATACGCTTATTTGACATCCACATATCTTCTTGGGGAAGTGTCTGTTCAAGTATTTTGCCAGTTTTTAAATTTTCTTAATATTGATTTTTTATATTATTTTAAATCGTCTTATTGCTGATTTTTGACAGTTCATTGTGTGTTCTGGATACAAGTCTTTGTCAGGGATGCTATTTGCAAAATGTTCTCCGAGTCTGTCATTTGCCTTTTTATCTTCTTAATGTTCCAATTACAGAGCAATCATTTTCAATTTTGATTAGTAGTATGTTAATTTTTTTCTCTTTTTAAAGAAAGAGAGAAAGGAGGAAAAAAATGGAGAGGAAGAAAGAGGAAGAAGGAGAAGGAGAGAGAACAGGAGTGCTGCTTTATTCTAAAAATGGGTATTGAAGGCCTCTTTTATGCCAATAACTGTGCTTAATAATGGAGACAGGAAAAAATGAGGGAAGAAAATATCAAACAAGTAGCCAACCAATACTTTATTTAAACCTGTGAGTAGGTGTGATGTGGTACTGATAAGAGTGTATGTTTTGTATATTTAAAGTGGAGAGTTCTATAAATGTTTATTAAGTTTACTTGTTCCGCATATGAGTTCAAGTCCTGGATATCCTTATTAATTTTGTCTCATTGATCTATCTAATGTTGATGTTGAAGTCTCCCACTATTACTGTGTGGGAGTCTAAGTCTCTTTATAGGTCTTATGTATCTGGGTGCTCCTGTATTGACTGCATATATATTTAGGATCGTTAGCTCTTCTTGTTGCATTGATCCTTTTACCATTATATCTTTGTTGCTTTAAAATCTATTTTATCAGAGGCGAGAATTGCAACTCCTGCTTTTTATTTATTTATTATTTTTTTCTCTCCATTTGGTTGGTAAATCTTTCTCCATCCCTTCGAGTCTTTGTGTATCCTTGCATGTGAGATAAGTCTGGATGCAGCCTACTGATGGGTTTTGGGTGTATCTTTTGATTGGGGGATTTAATTGATTTAAATTTAGGATTGCTGCCATTTGATGTTAGCTGGCTGTTTTGCCCGTTAGTTGAAGTAAATTCTTCATTATGGATTTTCTGCCCGGGAATCTCTGGTCTGGCTTCCTTCTTGTGACTCTGCCTTCCCGGAGCTCCAAACATCAGTCAAAAGGGGAACCAGGGCCGGGCGCGGTGGCTCACGCCTGTAATCCCAGCTCTTTGAGAGGCCAAGACAGGTGGATCACAAGGTCAAGAGATCGAGACCATCCTGGTCAACATGGTGAAACCCCATCTCAACTAAAAATACAAAAAATTAGCTGGGCATGGTGGTGCGTGCCTGTAATCCCAGCTACTGGGGAGGCTGAGGCAGGAGAATTGCCTGAACCCAGGAGGCGGAGGTTGCGGTGAGCCGAGATCGCGCCATTGCACTCCAGCCTGGGTAACAAGAGTGAAACTCCGCCTCAAAAAAAAAAAAAAAAAAAAAAAGGGCGGGGGGAACCAGTCCCGTTTATTCTGCACCAAGAACCGCTGTGCCGGCCACAAGAGTCCTGCTGGCGACCTGGGGGGCTCCTCCGCTGGGAATCTTCTGGTCGGTGGTGGCGTCCTCTCGTTCTCTGCGCTTTCACTGGGAGCTACAATCCCGAGCTGTTAGTGATCAGCCATCTTGGATCGTTAGAATAATTATAATGGAGATGATAATTCTCAACATTAATTTTTTAAAATATATCATGCTTTTGATGCAACATCTAAGACGTCTTTGCCTAACCCATAGTCATGAATATTTTCCCCTATATTTTCCTTTAAAAATTTTATGGTTTGATATTTACATCTATAATCCACTTTTACTTATTTTTTGCATATGACAAAGTTCAGATGGTTTTTTTGTGTGTGTATGGATGTGCAATTCCTCCAGCAATGTTTGTTGAAGATGACCCTTTCTCCCTTAAATTGCCTTTTTTCATTCACAGTTCCCCAAATTGCATCTTTGTCAAAAATCAATTGACTATATTTGCAAAGATCTATTTCTGGACTCTGTCCTGTCCCCTTGAAGTCTGTGTCTATGACTGTACCAGGACCAACTATCTTGATTACCGCAGCTCTGTAACTAATCTTAAAATCAGATATGTTCTTCCAATTTCATTCTTCTGAGTTAGATCAGCCTAATTCCTTTGCCTTTCTTATAAATTTTAGAGATTCTCTTCTAGATTTACACAATATTCTGCTGAGATTTTGATGTGAACTATATTGAGCATCCAATTTATGAATATGGTATGCTCTTCCACTTATCTAATTAGGGTGTTTGATTTCTTTCATCTGTTTTGTAGATACTCTGATATTCTGCTTAGAGTCAGATCCACATGCACAGTGCAGCTTTGGTGTTAACCCAGGAGTTTATCCATAAATTTATGGGCTCACTTCCCTAAGCTTCCTCCTGTCTGAAATCTCCCCAATATTTTCTGCCTCCCAAGTGTCCCCTTCTTCAGTTTCCCTGTTCTGCTGTGCAAGTTCTGAAAACTGCATATGCTTCTGGAGCTGAGTGGTAAGAGGTTAGTGAAAGAAGAAACAGTGACAAGGATTCTCTTGCCATTGGAAATAAAATTGCTTTGATTTGAGACGAGGATTCTTTTTCCTTGCAGTGTAATGTATGAACGAGGCTTCTAGCGGTCTTTCACCAGGAGAGTTGCTCAGGGTCTCCCTCATAGCATATGTACAAGAAAGGGATGGTAAGTCAATTTTTGACTTTCAATTACATGGCTAGAAGCAGCAAATCAAAGAGGAGGATTAAGGCTGCTGGTAAAGATTTGTTACAGAAGAATGATTGCTAACAGACTCTTAGCAAAACTCCAACAAGCAATATAATGCTTTACTGCCTGGGGCCATTTAGTGCAAAGGCAAACAGCCCAAAGGACTAGGACATCTTCTGTTATAATATGCTTCAGTGAACTATAGAAACATCAGGCTGTTACAGTACATTCTAAAACTTGGAAGTGACGGTTCTGTGATATCAAGAAAAGATCAATTATGTTCTAATACTCTTTTTGAGAAGACAATTCTACCAAAATCATAAAATTTGCACATCTTAGTGAAATGAGCTGTAGCTCTCCAGAAAGCTTTGCCACCTACCATGATGTCATTATCCAGAATGTTTCCCAGAATTTCAATACAGCTGAGATTTTACTCTATTAAATGGTGTGTGATGACAAAAATTATTAAATTTCTCAGTCTAAACTCTGATCAAGAGAAACACAATGCAAGCATGTGTGTAAATTTTTAATTTTCTAGTAGCAACATTAAAAAAGTACAAAGTAACAGGTAAAATTAATAGATTTTACTTAATCCAACCAAAATGTTAATATGAAATCACTTTATATTGCTGTGTCACCAGGCTGGAGTGCAGTGGCATGTCTCAGCTCACTGCCACCTCTGACTCCCTGGTTCAAGTGATTCTCCTGCCTCAGCCTCCCTAGTAGTTTGGATTACAGGTACGTGCTACCACACCCAGCTAAATTTAGTAGTTTTCATAGACATGGGATTTTACTATGTTAGCCAGGTTGGTCTCGAACTCCTAACCTCAAAGGGTCCTTCCAAAGTGCTGGGATTATAGGCGTGAGCTACCATGCCTGGCCTAAAAAATCATTAATGAGATATCGTGCATTCTTTTCTGCAATATCAAGTCTTTGGAATCCAATGTGTATTTTAAAAAGAGTACATCTCAATTTAGATCCTACATTTTCATCAGAAAGCCTTGATCTATATTTAGATTTTATAAAGTGTATAGTTCAAAAAGTAGATTCTCATGCTCAGATTCTTCCACACATACTTAAAAATGTTCCCAATAAAAGAAATACTAAAAATGTATTTTCATGTAACATTCAAATCCCCATTGACACAACTGGTTCATATTTTTTTTAGAAGTGATTTGACTTTGAAGCAGAAGCACAACAGTTTTAAAAATATGCCTGTCCAGGTTTAGTGAATTCACTGACTTTTGTGTCAGCTCATTAATATTAACATTGAATTCCAAGTGGTATTACATAAATCAAAGCTCAACTGTAAATTATCAATACGAATGAAACATTCTTCAAATTTTACTCACACCTTTGAAGTGACTTGTAATGCTGTCAATTTAAAATCAAATCTGCATGTTGGTTTATTTTTTTAATGTATAAATCATTAATTGGTGTTATAAAAAGTTTCCCATTGTAACATAAATACTTGCAATGGTATTCAAAAATGAAATGTTGAAGTCCTAAGTCCTACTACCTCAGAATGTGACCTTATTTGGAGTTAGGGTCCTACAGAGGTAATCAAGTGAAAATGAGTCATCTAGGTGGGCTCTGAAACAATCTGACTATGCCTTTATAAAAAAAGGAAAACCTGGACATATCGGCATATAGCGAAAATACTATGAGATGACACATTGGAGAGATGGGCAGCCAGAGGCTTGGAGAGGGCCTGGAACCGATCCCTCCCCAGGAACTTTAAAGGGATCGTGACTCAGCCCACACCTTATTTCAGACTTCTGGCCCCCAGAACTTAATATTTGTTGCAAAAACTGTATTAGGTTCCTAGGGCTGTTGTAACAACGTTTTCTGAAGTCACCCAGCTTCTGTTCCAACAGCGCTAGGAACCTAATAAAGTATTTCTCCTCGTATAACTAAGTCACAATTAAGTTTTTCCTTTCATTAGGAGATTTAAAATGAGTTTTCCATATGCATTGTGGTATCAGATTAAAAAACAAACCACACTGCCAGATTTTATCTTTGATTCCTGCATATTTAGCAAGCATTTCTTTTGTTTCAAGAAAATCTTGAATTGAAATTAATCATGTAGGTTTTTTGACTTAACCAAGCGTTGGCAAAGAGCACACGGTCAAATTCAGGGTCTTCTTTCAAAAGTTCCACACATTAATGATGATTCATAGCATTTGCAGAAGTTACATTGCTGCAAGAAAAATCACATCAGATAAACCATGAGAAGACAGCGTCACTCTGATGAGATACAGCCCTATTCTGGAATGCAGTATGGTTACGAGAAAGAACTTTGGAACTAAGCATACCCGGGTTCTATTCTCAACTTGTGTTTCTGACAGGGTGCCCTTCGGCAAGACCCTTGGCCTTTCTGAGTTGTAGATCTCCAATCTGGAAAACAGGAACAATATCACCTTCCTCATAGTGCTATTGGGACAGTCACTTAGATGGCTTAGTTAAAAGTCCCCGGTTGACTTTCTGGCACATAATAAATGGCAGTTGCCATCCTCGTACCTGAAATCCTTGTGGAGAATATCTATCTGAAGTAACACTGGCTGCCAAGTGTGACTTTTATTCATGCTCTCTGTTCTTCACCAGCTTGTTAAAAAGTTCTAGATGCCTACTAATCACTTTCCTTCTCATGTCACATTGCTTTCACGGTGAAGTAATTCATTCTCCCATACATTAATTTATATATATAAAATGTACAAAATGTCTAGCCATACTTGTCTGATGGGTGAGATTCCATAAAATACCCAACGAAGGAACAACAAATTTTGAGTTCTTCACCAGCGAAACTTTATAAAGTTCAGGAGCTTCTTCGTTTCTGTTTTAGTGAATTAGGCTTTCCATTCCTCTGAAATTACAGGATTTGGATTAGTCTCCTCTACTGGAAAATCACAGAAAAAGACATGATCTAACAGACTGGAACTCTTTCAGAAGATAAAATTGATAGGTAAGGCAGAAATAGAGCAAAGCTCCATGTCATTAGTGAAGGATCTCCCCACCCCCATTTTGATCTTGCAAATTTATCTTGCAAATCTCAGTTGGTTGCTAGGAAAATGTGGCAAAGCAAGCCAAAGGAACTGAGCTCTCTCCTTGTATGTGGCAATTCATTTGGACTCTAGCTGAGTACATAGGGCAGCATGCATAATCGCAGTTGGTGTGCATGCACATTTAAAGGGCACTGTAGTTCTTGAAATTGTTAACTTTTTACTAATATGGAAATAACTTCATTATTTTTGTAGATTATAGCAGGTGTATTAAACATAATCTGATAATACATGGTGATTAAGAGCATGACGTTGGAGTCAGAATTAGGATGAAACTCCTGAACCACCACCTACTAATTGTGCAGCTTTGGGCAAACTACTGAGCTCTCCACATCTATTTCTTCCCTCTAAATAGAGTCATGATGCCTCTCTCAGGACTGTTCATTTCCTTATACATTCACAGTGAACATGAACTGTGCACCTACTCTGTCTGACTGGATTCAGCCAATAGGAACAAAACAGTGAACAAGGGAAGCAGGACCCTGCTCTCATGGACTGTTCACTCTAGTAAGAGAAACAAATAATGAGCAAGTAAATAAAGTCATCGCAAAGAGGGATGCACCATGAAGAGCAGGAAACGGCAATGGAATAGCGAGTGGCTTGGTGAGTGAAAAGAGGTGGAGGGGCTGCCTCACACAAGGTGGGCAATGAAGAGATGACAGTGGGATGAGGTGGAGGGGCTGCATGAGACGAGACGGTCAGTGAAGAGATGACAGTGGAATGAGGTGCAAGAGTTGCATCAGACAAGATGGTCAGTGAAGAGATGACAGTGGAATGAAATGGAGGGTCTGCGTGAAGTAAAGAGATGACAGTGGGATAAGGTGATGGATCAGTGAAGAGATGAAACTGGAATGTGAAGGATTAGTGAACAGATGACAGAGGGATGAGGTGGAGAAACTGCGTCTAACAAAATGGCCAGTGAAGAGATAACAATGGGTTGAGGTGGAGGATCAGTGAAGAGACAACAGTGGAATAACATGGAGGGGCTGCATCGGACGAGATGAGCAGTGGAGAGATGACAGTGGGATGAGCTGGAGGGGGCTGCATCAGAAAAGATGGCCAGTGAAGAGATGAAAGAGGGATGAGGTGCAGAAGTTGCATCAGACAGGATGATGAGTGAAGAGATGACAGTGGGATGAGGTAGAGGGTCTGCGTCAAGTGAAGAGATGACAGTGGGATGAGGTGGAGGGTCACTGAAGAGATGACAGTGGGATGAGGTGGAGGGGCTGCATCAGACAAGATGGTCAGTGAAGAGATGAAAGTGGGATGAGGTGGAGAAGCTGCATCAGCCAGGATGGTGAGTGAAGAGATGACAGTGGGATGAGGTGGAGAAGCTGCATCAGACGAGATGGTCAGTGAAGAGACGACAGTGGGATGAGGTGGAGGATCTGTGTCAACTGAGGAGATGACAGTTGGATTGGGTGGAGGGTCAGTGGAGAGATGACAGTGGGATGGGGTGCAGGGGTTGCGTCAGACAAGATGGTGAGTGAAGAGATGATAGTGGGATAAGGAGGAGGGTTAGTGAAGGCGGACAATGGGATGAGCTGGAGAGGCTGCATCAGACCAGACGGTCAATGAAGAGATGATAGTGGAATGAGGTAAAGGGGTTGCATCAGACAGAATGGTGAGTGAAGAGATGACAGTTGGATGAGGTGGAGGGTCAGTGAAGAGATGACAGTCGGATGAGGAGGAGGGGCTGCATCAGACGAGACGGTCAGTGAAGAGATGAAAGTGGGATGTGGTGGAGGGTCACTGAAGAGATGACAGTCGGATAAGGTGGAGGGTGAGTGAAGAGGTGAGAGTCGGATGAGGTGAAGGGGCTGCATCCGACGAGACGGTAAATGAAGAGATGACAGTGGAATGAGGTGGAGAAGCTGCATCAGACAGGATGGTGAGTGAAGAGCTGACAGTGGGATAAGGTGGAGGGTTTGCGTCAAGTGAAGAGATCACAGTGGGATGAGCTAGAGGGTCAGTGAAGAGATGTCAGTGGGAGAAGCTTGACGGTCAGTGAAGAGATGACAGTGGAATGAGCTGGAGTGGCTGCATCAGACGGGACGGTCAGTGCAGAGATGACAGTGGGATGAGCTGGAGAGGCAGCATCAGACGAGATGGTCAGTGAAGACATGACAGTGGAATGGGGCGGAGGGTCAGTGAAGGGCGGACAGTGGGATGAGCTGGAGAGGCTGCATCAGAGGAGACAGTGAATGGAGAGATGACAGTGGAATGAAATGAAGGGATTGCATCAGACAAGATGGTGAGTGAAGAGATGATAGTGGGATGAGGTGAAGGGTCAGTGAAGAGATGACAGTGGGATGAGCTCGAGTGGCTGCATCAGACGAGACGGGCAGTGAAGAGATGACAATGGAATGAGGTGCAGGGGTTTTATCAGACAAGATGGTCAGTGAAGAGATTAAAGCGGGATGAGGTGGAGAAGCTGCATCAGACAGGATGGTGAGTGAAGAGATGACAGTGGGATGAGGTGGAGGGTCAGTGAAGAGATGACAGTGGGATAAGCTTGAGGGTCAGTGAAGAGATGACAGTGGGATGAGCTGGAGTGCTTGCACCAGACGAGACAGTCAGTGAAGAGAGATGACAGTGGAGTGGGGTGGAGAGACAGTGAAGAGATGAGAGTGGGATGAGGTGCAGGGGTTGCGTCCGACAACATTGTTAATGAAGAGATGACAGTGGGATGGGGGGGTGGTTCAGTGAAAAGACGACAGTGGAATGTGAAGGGTGAGTGAATAGATGACAGCAAGATGAGGTGGAGAAACTACGTCAGACAAAACCGCCAGTGAAGAGATGACAATGGGTTGAGGTGGAGGGACAGTGAAGAGATGACAGTGGAATAACCTGGAGGGGCTGCATCGGACAAGATGAGCAGTGGAGAGATGACAGGGGGATGAGGTGGAGAAGCTGCATCAGACAAGATGGTGAGTGAAGAGATGACAGTGGGATGAGGTGGAGTTGCAGAGTCAGACAAGATGGTCAGTGAAGAGATGACATCCAGATGAGGTAAAGGGGGCTGCGTCAGACAAGACAGGCAGTGAAGGGATGACAGTGGGATGAGGTGGAAGGGCTGCATCAAATGAGATGGTGAAGAAATGACAGTGAAGATATGACAGTGGAATGAGGTGCAGGGGTTGCATCAGACAAGATGGTCAGTGAAGAGATGCAAGTGGGATAAGCTGGAAGGTCTACATCGGACGAGACAGTCAGTGCAAAGATGACAGTGGGATAGGGTATAGGGTCAGTGAAGAGACGACAGTGGGATGTGAAGGGTCAGTGAATAGATGACAGGGATGAAATTGAGAAACCGCGTCAGACAAAACAGCCAGTGAAGAGATGAGAATGGGTTGAGGTGGAGGGTCAGTGAAGACATGAGAGTGGGCTGAGGTGAAGGGACAGTGAAGAGATGACAGTGGGATAAAGTGGAGGGTCTGCATCAGACGAGACGGTAAGTGAAGAGATGACAGTCGGCTGAGGTGGAGGGTCAGTGAAGAGATGACAGTGGGATGGGCTGGAGTGGCTGCATCAGACGAGACAGGCAGTGAAGAGATGACAATGGAATGAGGTGCAGGGGTTTCATCAGACAAGTTGGTCAGTGAAGAGATTAAAGCGGGATGAGCTTGAGCGTCAGTGAAGAGATGACAGTGGGATGAGGTGGAGAAACAGTGAAGAGATGACAGTGAGATGAGGTGGAGGGTCAGTGGAGAGATGAAAGTGGAATGGGGTGGATGGTGAGTGAAGAGATGATAGTGGGATAAAGAGGAGGATGAGTGAAGGCGGACATTGGGATGAGCTGGAGAGGCTGCATCAGATGACACGGTCAATGAAGAGATGAGAGTGGAATGAGGTGCAGGGGTTGCGTCAGACAAGATGGTCAGGGAGAAGATGATGAAGCTGCATCAGACGAGATGGTCAATGAAGAGATGACAGTGGGATGAGGTGGAGTTGCTGAGTCAGACAAGTTGGTCAGTGAAGTGACGACAGCGGGGTGAGGTGGAGGGGCTGCATCAAACGAGACGGTGAAGAAATGACAGTGAAGAGACGACATGGTCAGTGAAGAGATGACAGTGGGATTAGGTGGAGGGTCAGTGAAGGGATGACAGTAAGATGAGGTGGAAGGGCTGACTCCGACAAGACAGAGAGTGGAGAGCTGACAGTGGAATGAGGTGCACGGGTTGCGTCAGACAAGATGGTCAGTGAAGAGATGAAAGAGGGATGAGGTGAAGAAGCTGCATCAGACAGGATGGTGAGTGAAGAGATGACAGTGGGATGAGGTGGTGGGTCAGTGAAGAGACGACAGTGGAATGTGAAGGGTCAGTGAATAGATGACAGCGGGATGAGGTGGAGAAACTGCATCAGACAAAACAGCCAGTGAAGAGATGACAACGGGTTGAGGTGGAGGATCAGTGAAGAGATGACAGTGGGATGAGGTGGAGGGTCGGCATAAGACGAGACGGGCAGTGAAGAGATGACAGTGGGATGAGGTGGAGAAGCTGCATCAGACAGGATGGTGAGTGAAGAGATGACAATGGGTTGAGGTGGAGGATCAGTGAAGAGATAAAACTGGAAAAACATGGAGGGGCTGCATCAGATGAGATGAGCAGTGGACAGATGAAAGTGGGATAAGGTGGAGGGTTTGCGTCACGTGAAGCGATCACAGTAGGGTGAGCTTGAGGGTCAGTCCAAAGATGACAGTGGGATGAGCCTGAGGGTCAGTGAAGAGATGACAGTGGGATGAGCTGAAGTGGCTGCATTAGAGGAGACGGTCAGTGAAGAGATGACAGTGGAGTGGGGTGGAGGGACAGTGAAGAGATGACACTGGGATGGGGTGGAGAAGATGCATCAGACAGGATAGTGAGTGAAGAGATGACAGTGGGATGAGGTGGAGGGTCTGCGTCAAGTGAAGAGATGACAGTGGGATGAGCATGAGGGGCTGCATCAAACGAGATGGTCAGTGAGCAGATGACAGTTTGATTGGTTGGAGGGTCAGGGGAGAGATGACAGTGGAATGGGGTGGAGGATCAGTGAAGAGATGACAATGGAATGAGGTGAAGGGGCTGCATCAGAGAGGATGGTGAGTAAAGAGATGACAGTGGGATGAGGCGGAGGGTCACTGAAAAGATGACAGTCAGATGAGGTGGAGGGGCTGAATCAGACAAACCAGGCAGTGAAGAGATGAACGTGGAATGGGGTGCAGGGGTTGCGTCACACAAGATGGTCAGTGAAGAGATGACAGTGGGATGAGGTGGAGTGGCTGCATCAGACGAGACGGTCAGTGAAGATATGACAGTGGGATAAGGTGGAGGGTCAACGAATAGATGACAGTGGAATGAGCTGGAGTGGTTGCATCAGACAAGACCGTCAGTGAAGAGATGAGAGTGGAATGAGCTGCAGGGGTTGCGTCCGATAAAATGGTCAGTGAAGCGATGAAAATGGGTTGAGGTGGAGGATCAGTGAAGAGATAAAAGTGGAATAACATGGAGGGGCTGCATGGGACGAGATGAGCAGTGGAGAGATGACAGGAGGATGAGGTGGAGGGGCTGCATCAGACAGGATGGTGAGAAGAGATGACAGTGGGATGAGCTGGAGTGGCTGCA